TGAACAAGGTTATCTGGAGTCTTGACATTCTAGAAAAAGAATTTTGCAGTTTTGTGATTTCTCCCAAATGGACTTTAATTTGCTTTTGAAGATTCAGATCTAGTCATTTTTATTTCAGTGGAAGCATTTTTAGATATGGATGCAGTTAGCGAATTACAACACCTAGAAGCATTTTTGGTCGACGAACACGAACGTGATCCAAAGAAAATAGAGAACCTCTACGAGTGTGTGCAATACGCCGCGGCAATTGTTCCGCGATTGTGAGTCATATAATGTTTTGATTGATTCATCGTTTTTTGAAATTGGTAAAACTAGGTTTCCTTGACGTCTAGTTATGAGGACAGCTTCCAATTTGGGTTCAGAATTATTCGTGTTTCGTGCAGCCCTCTCCTTTCCATGATTCAAGCGCTATAAGGGATGCCGCATAGCCTTCAAATCCTTGTATACCTTTTTGTGCTTTTCGGTGCTTTTTTTCTTCCTCCCTATTATTCATAAAAAAGCGAAGCATAATCCTAGGTACAGCTGGTTAGGAGAGGGATTTGCGAAGACATATCAAACGCCTAATCTTGCTTTGTTTCTGCGTGCCCACGCAGATAGAAGCACCTAGTGCTAACCCTGTTCCTTTCATAGTTTCCCGCTTATTTATTTTTTCTATCTTTTCTGTTTATTTGGAACTCAACAATGGCAGTGCTTCAGTTATTCTTGTCATAAATTCCTTATATACCCTTTTTTGTGCTTTTCGATGATTTTTTTCTTCCTCCCTATTTTTCACAAATGATATTACTTCTCTATGTGACGGGTAGTGTTGACAGTTATTTGTGATCAAATAGCAAGTAAGATTATTTTGCAATTTGCTTTCATTTTTCAGGTATCTCTTAATTACCATTGGAGTAGTATATATCAAATGCGGCGAAGACACCCGTCGCAATATCCTTAGTGATCTTGTTGAAATGTGTCGCGGCGTGCAACACCCTTTGAGGGGTTTGTTTCTCAGGAATTACTTGCTGCAAAGTACCCGAACTCTTCTTCCAGATAATCCTGATCTTACCACTACAGAGTAGGTTTGCTTTTGTTACGGATTGCATTGTATTTTTTATCTTCTTGTGTATCGTAAGTAAAACTTGCTTTTATAGTGTCAATGATTTGCCTGAATCCGATAAAGAACCACGAGAATGTGATGGTACTGTATCGAACGCGATTCATTTTGTGCCTAAGTGACTTGCGAATAACAAGCTATGATGCCAATGCACATCACAGCCCCGTCTAAAGAGCGGAGAAACGGGGATAGACAAGAGCGTTATGGAGTTGCGGTTGGCTTTCGTTCTGAATTCAACAGCTTCTAACTTTTTCAGTGAAGTGCCTGGACTGTGAACTATTATTAGCGTTATACATATGTGGTGGTAGGGTGAACCTTCGATTCATGCTTCTTATAATTCCACTGCTCTCCCTCCGATTTATAGATATCCTAGCGAACCAAAACCCCATGTGTTGATTTTTTAACTTTCTCTAATTATTTTCGCGGTGAATCGCGTTTACTCAGGCCTGTTCAGAGGTGACTGCTTACGCGAAAAAAGAAAAACGCACAGGCGAAAATCTCCGCCAAGATTTAGATACGCATCGACTGGGACATTGGCAAACGCGTAAGCGAAAACTCACGGAGTAGAGCAAAATTTTTAGCGAGGGTTTCGCATGTATGATATGATTCTAAAACAACGCCACAGACAGGCGAAATCGCGAGCTGCGGACAAGCTTGGAAGTCGATGCGTATCCATACACTTATTCGCTCGAGATTCTCCCAACTTCACAGATTCTCCACACTCTCGGTTTTTTCCAATTTTAGTCGATACTATACTGCGGCTTTTCGCCTCTGCGTTTTTTTTTGCGTAAGCGGACATCTCTGAAGAGATCCTCACGAGGAGAATGAGCATTGGTCATTCATGTTTTACATGTTATCCGAAGTGGAGATGGTCAGCGGTAATCACGATACGTGCTGTGGAAGTGATAATGATCAATTGTAGTTGGATGAGTATAAGAGTATTCCATTCGAGTTTGTCAGTCTTCTCCAGCCACTGCTCTCTTGTGACAGCGCTGCCTTCCGATAAGATTTTAATTTTTTTGTCAGGTTCACTTCTTAATGTTCATATCTTCGTTTTATTTCATCCATACCATTGCACCCAACTTTCGAAATTTTCTTTGTAAATATGTGTGTTGCTTATCACTTTGCTATGTGTTGCCCTGCGCAATTTTGATCATTTAGGCCAAAAATTGATGAAGATCCGGCAGCCATGTTATGTATAAACTTGATTCCAATTTTGTCACTGACGATGAACTTTTTCTTAATGATGGAAATTGCGACACCTAAATAGCTATTATGTAGTACACATTTTGATTGCTTTTGATAAAGTCGGCCATGCTATTTGCTGATATTTGGTCAGTGTTGCTATTGTTTTATTATTGATATATTATTTTGATATATTGGTCGTATATTTTGATCCAATAAAAATTGGAACCTTTTCCACGACATTGCCGTGGTTGTGGGCAATGGTCGGTGGTCTAATAAAGTGATAAAAATGTCACAACCCGCTTGGGAAAACGATCATCATCACGTGTTTGGTTTCTGAATGCAGATGATCGTTTTCCCGAGTTTCAGTTGCCTACTTAATGAGGTTTAGGTGTTTCGTTTATTCTTATGAATAAACGAATCTGCGAAGGGTCGCACGGTGTACATAGTCTCGAACAATCTGAAGAGTTTATTCATATATAATTATGTACAACTATATACAAATTCAAATGAGAGAATGGAACGGTGGATAGAGCTATGTACATAAGTTAAGTGAAACGAGAAAGTCTGAATTATGTACAAGTAGTAGTTATGCACAACGTTATAAATAAACAACAGTGGAAGATCAAACAAATCCTCGAAAATATAATACAAGAGAGAGGTTGGTTTGAACCATACACAAAAGAATTTGAGGAGAATGCGGGAACTTACCTTGCTGTCGCCCGTAGCGTCGACTTGACATTCCGTTTTGTGCCGTTGAGAACATTCTAAAACGGTTTCGCGTTGGATGGGTTCCACTTATGGAAGAGGTTGAAGTATTGAACTTACCCCTCACACCGATTTGTCTGTCACAAATCTAGACATCCTCCGACAGTATCTGGTGATGATCCTGGTGTGGAGGAATGCGCGATTTTCGTTGAGGAGTTCCTTGAAGCGTTCCATTTCCCTCCTGATTCGTCGACGACGCAGTCTATCTTTCTTGTGCAGCTTCTTCGGCTGATTATTCTGGAGATAGGGTGCTTGGTATGCGTATGCGACTTAAGTGGAACCAAGCGTGAAACCAACCCTTTCGATGTCCAACAGTTTTCCTCGTGATGTTGTGACGTAGCCTCGGAGAGCGATGAGTAAGT